GGTGTCTGGTTGTGTCTGATGGTGTCTGGTTGTGTCTGATGGTGTCTGGTTGTGTCTGATGGTGTCTGGTTGTGTCTGGTTGTGTCTGGTTGTGTCTGATGGTGTCTGATGGTGTCTGGTTGTGTTTGATGGTGTCTTGTTGTGTCTGGTTGTGTCTGGTGTCTGGTTGTGTCTGATGGTGTCTGATGGTGTCTTGTTGTGTCTGGTTGTGTCTGATGGTGTCTGGTTGTGTCTGGTTGTGTTTGATGGTGTCTTGTTGTGTCTGGTTGTGTCTGGTGTCTGGTTGTGTCTGATGGTGTCTGGTTGTGTCTGGTTGTGTCTGGTTGTGTCTGGTTGTGTCTGATGGTGTCTGATGGTGTCTGGTTGTGTCTGGTTGTGTCTGATGGTGTCTGGTTGTGTCTGATGGTGTCTGGTTGTGTCTGATGGTGTCTGGTTGTGTCTGGTGTCTGGTTGTGTCTGGTGTCTGGTTGTGTCTGATGGTGTCTGGTTGTGTCTGGTTGTGTCTGGTTGTGTCTGGTTGTGTCTGGTTGTGTCTGATGGTGTCTTGTTGTGTCTGATTGTGTCTGGTTGTGTCTGATGGTGTCTGATGGTGTCTGGTTGTGTCTGGTTGTGTCTGATGGTGTCTGGTTGTGTCTGATGGTGTCTGGTTGTGTCTGGTGTCTGGTTGTGTCTGGTGTCTGGTTGTGTCTGATTGTGTCTGGTTGTGTCTGGTTGTGTCTGGTTGTGTCTGGTTGTGTCTGGTTGTGTTTGATGGTGTCTTGTTGTGTCTGATTGTGTCTGGTTGTGTCTGATTGTGTCTGGTTGTGTCTGGTTGTGTTTGATGGTGTCTTGTTGTGTCTGGTTGTGTCTGGTTGTGTCTGATGGTGTCTGGTTGTGTCTGATGGTGTCTGGTTGTGTTTGATGGTGTCTGGTTGTGTTTGATGGTGTCTGGTTGTGTCTGATGGTGTCTGGTTGTGTGTTTCATCAGGACTGGATCGAGTTCGAGGAGATCGCAGACCTGGAGGAGCGAGCTAAGAGTCAGTTCTTTGAGAAGGAGAACGAGGAGGAGGTGCAGAAGAGCCAGGCTGCTGCGAAGGAGAAGGAGTTCCAGAGCGTCAGAGCCACCAAGGACCAAGTGGGAGAGGTGAGACTGGTAGCTTGTGGCCCCGCCTCCTCTCAACAGGAACAATAATAATAATAATAAACATGTTTCCTGTGCAGTCATGTGAAATCTGTCAGGAATCCTTTGAGACCTACTGGGTGGAGGAGGAGGAGGACTGGTTCCTGAAGGACGCCATCAGGGTCGATGAAAAGGTGAGGCTCCGCCCCTTTTCTGTTTTTGCCCTTTCAGCAGGAAGTAAACTTGTAAACAAAAGTTTGTTTATCTCCACAGAACTTCCACCCGGCCTGCTTCGAGGATTATAAAAATGTAAGTTTGTCCTTTAATCTGGACTTTGATGGTTCTGGTCTTTGGTGGTTCTGGTCTTTGATGGTTCTGGTCTTCGATGGTTCTGGTCTGGTCTTCTCACCGGGGACGTCTGGTCTTCTTCATGTCCTCAGACATCTTCATATCTGGACGTCACGCCTTCGCCCAGCAAGCTGCTGACCGAACACCCACTGGGTGCCTTCATCAAGGAGGAGGAGGAGGAGACTTCCTGTGATGTCACCACAGTGAAACAGGAAGTGCAGAGCGAGGTGCCTCTGAAGGAGGAGGCCCAGGATCAGGAGGAGGTTCAGGTTCAGGAGGTTCTGGACTCGGCCCAGTCGGAGGACAAAGCGTGACGAGCTGCTCCTCTTCGTCCTGCTGAGGATGAAGAGTTTTTTACCTGTTGAATACATTTTGGTATTTGATCGTTCGGCCCTTTCAGGCCGGCTCTTCACCGCTGTAAATGATTTAATTTATAAATTAAAGTATTTTTGGTAACTCTGGTCTGACGCTGATTGAGTTACGCTGACCGGTCCGTTCCTGACGAGCAGTCGCAGGTGTTGAAGGTAAGCAGCATCTGATTGGACGACTGAGGACGACGTCTGCTTCAGTTTCCTTCAATAAAAGAATCTGAAACATGTTTGTGTGAAATTTGATTCTTTTATTGTTCTTTAGGTTGAACAATAAAGTTTCTGTGGATTTAAACTTCCTGTCCTGGTGCTGTTATTGGGCTTCAAAATAAAATGTTCATGTGTGTCCAGTCTCTGGAGGCAGCCATGAGCTGTTCAACTGGTGGTGTGGGGGCCACATCTAGCCTGCTGGTGACCAAAGTCTGGTCCACAGATTAATCTGAGCCTGAACCTGAATTATTTTATTTAAGATCAAACTTTAAAAATAATTTAAAGTCAGGTCAGATTTAACAGTTAAACATGGTGGGTTTTTGTTTTTAATGTTTTAATGTCACAAACTTTGTGTTTTGACTTTCATTCATGATTAATAAAGTGTCCTCAGTTCACCTGCACAGTTCTCTGAATGTTTTAATTTGAAAAGAACAAACAGGAACTCCTTCAGAATAAAGGTTTATTTTAAAAATGTTTTGCTTTGAAAAGAACAGGAACTCCTTCAGAATAAAGGTTTATTTTAAAAATTGTTTTAATTTGAAAAGAACAAACAGGAACTCCTTCAGAATAAAGGTTTATTTTAAAAATTGTTTTAATTTGAAAAGA